TTGATATCCGCTTCTGGTCAAAAGCATGGCTTTATTGTTGATACTGGTAGTGTTGAGTCCATCATTCCACAATCAGATCTAACTGCATTCTACCCCAGTGCCGTGATAGTGCCTACAGATATTAACATTCGCGGTATCACTGGACATTCTGTACCTCTCGTTGGTAGTTGCACGATCCCTGTGAGGTTACTACAAGGTACCTGTATCGATTGTAATTTTTTGGTATCAACGTCGGGACCATCGATCGTCGGACTCAAAGTTCTACGCTTACTGCAAACCAGTATCACCTTACTGACTTCTGCGAATGAGAATGAACTCAAGCAACTGATTCTTAAATGTTCTAAGGCCACAGGTGGCATGCAAATTCCCAAGATGAGGCTCGAAGTTACAGGAGAGCCTATATTTCTTAAGAGACGGATTATTCCATTTGGTTTACGCGAGCCTGTTCGTCAAGCATTAAATTCAATGTGTGCGAAAGGAATACTGACTCCTGTTGAGTCATCGAATTGGGCAACTCCGATCGTTACCCCACTGAAGGCTGATGGTATTACTCCGAGAATTTGTGGTGACTACCGGCTTACGCTAAATACGCGGCTACTACAACGTACATGCACCACGGAAGAGCCAGAAGATGTATTGTATCGTTTATCAGGTTCAAGTGTGTTTTCAAAAATCGATTTAAAAGATGCTTATCTTCAAATACCACTGGACGAAGCCTCCAGTAACCTTACCGTGATCAACACACCCTTTGGGTTATTCCGATACAATTTTCTTCCCTTTGGTCTGAACGTTTCACCAGCTGTATTTCAGCAAGTTATGAATACTATTGCAAAAGATTTGGAGGGTGTTGAGACGTACCAAGATGACGTCATTGTGCACGCTGCTGACAAAGCTACCCATGATATGCGTCTGTTGTCTTTACTGAAGAGATTTTCTGAGTTCAATGTAGCTATTCATCCTGAAAAATGCACTTTTGGTGTCCCATCATTTTCATGCCTTGGCTACATTGTGGATGGCAGCGGTTTTAAACCTGATACAAGACGTCTATCCCCTTTAGTAAATGCGCCATCACCGACCAATCTACAAGAACTGCGTTCAGTTCTAGGAGCACTTCAGTATTACTCTCGTTTCATTCCTAATTTCGCCAAACACGCAAGTTGTCTGTTTGATATCATATCTTCCAATCAATTTTCTTGGTCTTCCAACCATGAGAAGGCGTTGCGTGCACTGCTTGGTTATCTTCAGACTTCAGCTGTTTTGAAGCCATTTTCCGCCAAACATCATTCGACGATCATTACTGATGCTTCTCCCACTGGAATAGGAGCAATCCTTGAACAGTGTGGTAGACCAGTGATCTGCATTTCCCGTCGACTTTCAAAAGCCGAACGTGGATATTCTCAGACTCAACGAGAAGCACTTGCTGTATATTGGGCTGTCAAACGGCTTCATAAGTATCTTTTTGGATTGAACTTTACCATTGCTACTGATCACGAGGCTTTGAAGTTCTTGTATCATCCAACGAAGTCTCTGGCGAAGTCATCTGCCGCTATGGTGCAACGGTGGATTATTGCATTGAGTTCTTACACCTACACAGTAGTTCATCGTAGTGCGAAAATGATTCCTCATGTCGATTTCTTGTCAAGAATTCTATCATGTGACTCTGATTCAAACAACTCAGATTGTCTACTGATTCAACCATTACCAGTCAAGCGGGATGTGCTTGTTGCTGACACTAAAAGATATTTCGCTCCCATTTTCTCTGCACTGCGACGTGGCTGGACGCAGCAAGAACGACGCCGATTTCCTGCTTTTTACTGTCGCCGCGAAAGCTTGTCCGTTACTCCGGATGGTTTGCTGTGTTTTGAGGATAGAGTTGTCATTCCACCGACTCAGCGAGCGGCTGTTCTTGCAGATTTACACTCTGGTCATCTGGGTGTCGATAAAATGAAATCCCTTGCACGCTTGTCATGCTGGTGGCCGGAACTGGATGCTGATATCAAGCATACTGCTAAGAATTGTGTTAAGTGTGCACATAAGATTCATAACAAGTCTTCACAGTGGCATCCGTGGCCAGTTACTTGTGAAGCATTTCAACGAGTTCATGCTGACTACTGTGGTCCTTTTCTTGGTAAATACTATGCTTTAATTCTTATTGACGCATATTCCCGTTGGCCTGAAGTTTTTCTAACTACTTCTCCAAGTGCCGAATTCACTCAGCAAGCCTTGAGGAAAGTATTCAGCCACGAAGGTGTACCAACTGTTTTGGTCACTGACAACGGCACACACTTCACTGCAAAATTCCTCGAGGAATGGTTGAAGGGTCTTGGTTGTCGACATCTGTTTACTGCTCCGCGACATCCCCAGTCGAATGGACTTGCTGAAAATTTTGTCCGAATACTTAAATCTGCTATTATTTCACTCTCTCCCACTACTTTTGTGGAATTGGACCGTGGGATTGATAATTTTCTAATGCAATACAGGAACGCCGTCCATTCCGTTACTGGGAAGAGTCCCGCGCTTCTATTTAAATCTCGTTCGTTGCGTACAAGTCTTGACTGTGCCAAAACGGCTGATGTTACATTTTTCAAGGGTAATGATTTACGACCCGCAACAGGAATAGTGCTTTCATCAAATGGCAAACGAATGGTCACAATTCTCGATTTGGATGATCTCTCTTGTCATCGGAGACACATTGACCAGGTTGAGTTCAATACCAGAGGTCAGTCTGTTAACGGCACTCCTGCTGTTTCAAATACTAATGAGTCCTTTGTAGATGATCTTGTGGTATCCGAACAAAATGCTGTATCTGAAGAACGTACTACCTGTGAAGATTCTGAAGTTTCCATTCCGAGAAGATCCGAAAGATTGCGGTCAAGACCACCACTGGACTATAAACACCCGCACGCTCATTCAAGGTGTGGCGGATGTGATGAACATGACTGATGCTCTATTCATTGCTCTATTCATTATTCTCTTGTTTTAATATTCCATATGCTGTACATATTCGCCAATTCGAATACATACGTGCTGGTTGCCACTCTTCGTTGAATTCTGGATTTCTAGTTTGTCGGGTTGTACCGATATACGTACGAAACTTAATTACCACATTTTGGCGTCGCGATTGGAACAATTCATCATGCCTGCCGAAATGGAACCATTAGATGTTAATTCAACTGCGCGTGACGTAGAGGATTATTTGGAACGATTCGACATATGGTGCCTCACAAAATCCGATATGGATGATAAGAAACTCACTGCATATTTCCTACATTTCGTTGGCAAGGAGGCGTATACTTTGATCAAGAATTTAGTATATCCTGAATCTCCAATTGATATTTCTTACACTGCATTGAAAAACAAAGTTCTTCAACACTTCAAACCGATTAACTTCGTAGCAGCCGAAAGAGCTAAGTTCAATATGTTAGCCCGCTCTCATTCTCAGTCGGTTCGTGATTTCGTGTTACAGCTGCAGACACAGGCAGCCAAATGTGACTATGGTGCCCAACTGGAAGACCAGCTGCGTGATAGACTCATTGCTGGCATTCAACTGCCCGAATTACAGCAGAAGCTGTTACTCTGTCCGGATCAGAAATTTCAAACTATTCGGAAAATATGTGAGCAGTATGAAGATGTGAAGCATGTGACGAAGACTGAGGAAGCAGTCTTGTTAAATTATTCTAAAAGAAATAATTCAAGGATGCGGACGAACAACAAATTCAAACCTCGAACAGATTCTCGTGCCTCAAATCCATCAACACGTCACTTCACAGATCGTAACCCTAATCCGATGGCTCAAAAATTCGGGAAATGCGAGTCTTGTGGACGAAACCATTCCAGATATTCATGCCCCCACAGACGAGCCAAGTGTTTTAGCTGCGGTAAAACAGGACACATTCAACTTGTCTGTAAGTCCAAGAAAGTGTGTCACTTAACTTCTGACCCAAACACTGACGTGAAGACATTATCTGAAGATATTTCTACTCTTTCTCTATCTGTTTTGTCCCAAAATTCGTCACATGTTTTTAAAACGTTGATATCCGCTTCTGGTCAAAAGCATGACTTTATTGTTGATACTGGTAGTGTTGGGTCCATTATTCCACAGTCAGCTCTAACTGCATTCTACCCCGGTGGCTTGATAATGCCTACAGATGTTAACATTCGCGGTATCAGTGGACATTCTTTACCTCTAGTTGGTAGTCACACGATCCTTGTAAAATCGCCCGAAGTTATCTCTATCGATTGTAACTTTTTGGTTTCAACGTCGGGACCATCGGTCATAGGACTCAAAGTTCTGGGGTCACTGCAAACCAGTATCAACTTACGGACTTCTGTGAATGAAAATGAAGTTAAACAACCGATTCTCAAACGTCCTAAGACTACAGGTGTCATGCAAATAACCAGGAGACGAATTATTCCATTTAGATTACTCGAGCCTGTTCGTCAAGCATTTCAACGAGTTCATGCTGAACACTGTATTCCTTTTCCCGGCAAATACTACGCTTTAGTCACTATTGACGCATATTCACATTGGCTTGAAGTTTTTCGAACTACGTCTCCAAGTGCCGAATTCACTCAGCAAGCATTGCGGAAAGTATTCAGCCACGAATATGTACCAACTGTTTTGGTCACTGACAACGGCACACACTTCACTGCAAATTTCCTCGAGGAATGTTTGAAGGGTCTTGGATGTTGACGTCTGTTTACCGCTCCGCGACATCTCCGGTCGAATGGACTTGCTGAGAATTTTGTCCGAACACTTAAGTCTGCCATTATTTCACTCTTTGACTACTTTTGTGGAATTGGACCGTGGGATTGATAATTTTCTAATGCAATACAGGAACGCCGCTCATTCTCTTACTGGAAAGGGTCCCGCGCTTTTATTTAAATCTCGTTTGTTGCATACAAGTCTTGACTGTGCCAAAACGACTGATGTTACATTGTTCAAGGGTAATGATTTACGACCTGTTACAGGAATAGTACTTTCATCAAATGGCAAACGAATGGTCACAATTCTCGATCTGGGTGATATCTCTTGCCATCGGAGACACATTGACCAGGTTGAGTTCAATACCAAAGGTCAGTCTGTTAACGGCAATCTTGCTGTTTCAGATACTAATGAGTCCTTTGTAGATGATCTTATGGTATCTGAACAAAACGAATCTGAAGAACACGAAACCTTTGAAGAGTCTGAAGTTTCCATTCCGAGAAGATCCTAAAGATTGCTGTCAAGACCACCACTGGATTATGAACATGCACACGCTCATTCAAGGTGTGGCGGATGTGATGAACATGACTGATACTCAATTCGTTGCTCTATTCATTATTCTCTTGTTTTAATATTCGATATGCTGTACTTGTACGCCAATTCGAATACACACGTGCTACTTGTTGCGCTGACCAGAATTCTGGATTTCTAGTTCGTCTGGTTTTTCTGATATAGGTCCGAAGCTTAATTTTCACACGGCTCATTCAAGATGTTCATGCACGGGACCATGAACGAACCTGTAGCACTTGTTAACTGCTGCTTTTCATGTTCAGTATCATCTTCCGTTTCCCTTTCAATATCAGCCATATCACTGTACAAATGTCTGTTTTACTGCAACCGCCCGCGTTTGGGGTCCAACGTGACTTTGAGACTTTTGATGAGTGACCGTTGTTGTGACTGCCTATAATTGGCTGCTACTAACTCTAAACGTGAACAAACATTGTAGCTACAAACACTGGACTAATATGGTAACACTTGTGGATGAATATTGCGATCACCGGAGATTTGGAATACCAGGATGACAGAACTTTTCTTGGTGTGGTGGTTCAACGGAGAACGGAACTATGGAATCTCCTATTTTGAACTTTCAATCAAGATTTGTTTGGATTTTCTCCTTGTGACTTTTTATCTGGCTTACATTAGTAATTTGGTTCTGTTCACTAGAGACTTCATAGGGGCATTAAACACTACAAACCGATGTACGGCGTTGCGATGACGGTACCGCGACTACCATACTCATTCTGATGGCTTACCCATGGTTCACTATATCTCTGATATTACCCAGACGGGCGTTTCGTGCACCCAAAAGACCGTCCTAGACCGTTCGATTTGTGCAAGAATAAGAAGTGGCCATCTTATTATGCCGTCGGCTTATTCAGTCCGCATACCCATTAGTTTATCCAACGGCACCATTGGTGGCTCTGTATATCGGTGAAGATTAAATCTTGCCTTAAGTCAGATGTAACGTTATCTGGCCATCATAAAAAGAAAAAATTACTAGCTGTGACAGTTCGCTGATTTCTGCGGGACGCCTGCCGCAACCACAAAAGAATTTTCATATCCAGGTTGCCAATTTGAGTTTGCACGGACGTAACGGGCGTCATAATTGTCGTTTTGAGATTATTTCCAAATCTAATGCGTGAGAAACCACGCGAAGAAATCTGTTTTCCGCAAAATTTCTCACAGCTTTCAAAAGCCACCGACAGCCATCAAAATACGAATTCCACAGTGGACTCCGAGTTCGTTTAAACAAGTTCTACTAACACTGCGGCCGCGTGGGAAGATCTTAGACGCCCGAATAACTACCATCAAATGCTAAAACTTCATGTTAAAACTTCCATTTCGAGTCACTGTGTGAGAATTGATTTTTGTACGTATATCAGTATAACCAGACGAACTAGAAATCCAGAATTCAGCGAAGCGTAACAACCAGCACGTATGTATTCGAACTGGCGAATATGTACAGCATATGGAATATAAAAACAAGAGAATAATGAATAGAGCAACGAATAGAGTATCAGTCACGTTCATCACACACTGTTTCAGAGAAATTTTGGGTGTGCATCTAGGACGCAGCCATTAATAGGGTTATCACAGCATATTCTACAAGTTGGCGCTAGAATCTTTATGACGGGGAGGATTCGTCGATATGCAGATACTCGATTCACACTGGTTGACATTCTGGCCAATCAAGGGATGCCTTTGTTTAGTCCGTAGCTGGCGTGTGACATCCATAATATCGGCGTGGTTCTCCGCTATGGAGTTTGTCGCGTTGATGTGTCCCTCCCTTTTGCCTGATTTGTGCCTCGTGCTTGATGTAGTTTTCGATCCTGCATCCACCATGGACAGTTTTCTTCACATACTGGAATCAATATCTAGCCTCTACGAGTCTTATGTTGTCTGTTCTGCCGACCCTCTCGATTTTCCGGATAGCGGTGGAACGATCCACATGAACGTGGGAATGTAAACTGAAGGCTTCCAACCGCAGGTACAACTTTGCTGGCTACTGGCGGGATTCACCGAAATGGACTGAGGTGAGAGCGTTATAGGTGGCGCGTGCAGGGAGTGGAATAGCCACTCAGTCTCGCATTCTTCACTGATCTCGGGTTTGGATGTAACTGTGGCAACCAAAACCAGATAATAATTTATTGTTGCTGACCACGAAGTCTTCAGCATGTGGTGTCCTGGTGGACGTATTTCAATTATCTGCAGTTGTCTTCTTAAGGACTACATTGAATGGTTGGACCAAGAGTTGAAGATCAATAATCCGAGGTGGCTCAGCTGTAAGAGGGAAAATTTACTGACCCGTAGGTCCGTGATCCGAACCCGACCTCTGCATCTCGACTTCTCTCTGGGCTTAGTCAACCTGGCCGTATCCCAGCCCTCGTGCGTCCTTCAGGTGGCATGGCACCGCAACGGTGTTACAGCTAAACGGTTATTATTGTTAATAACTCAATCCAGGACCGGGAGATCAAGGTATGCACAGTTGGTGAGGTAGAAAACACGAAAAGTGCACCTTGTGTGTTTCGCTGGTGGCCTTCAATTACGTCTCATGGTCGTTTTGAAACCAGAGTGAGGTCACAACCTGTATCATTTCGGAGGGTAACCTGTGTTCGTTTGATACATTACCGAATTTACGTCGACCGAGTGACTTTATCCTGAATGTAGCGGCCATGGTCCTCTGCCTGCGTCCTTCTGTCGGGTCGGTGTTCGCGTGAGTTCCTGAAGTTGTCCCTGCAGCATTCTTTGTGACCCTTTCAACTGCAATTGGTGCATCTGTTGTGCTGATAGGGACAGTGGTGTAAATATTACCATTCGTCACAGAACCAGCAGGATGTGGGAAGTGTTATTGGGGTTCGTTTAGAATGTGATTACCTTTTGGAAGTTACTTTGCTTACCATACCAGGCTGAGAAAAGTGGGAATGTCCACTCATTGCAGCATCAGCTTTGAGATCGATAAGATGCATTTGGTGGTAAGTTTCTGAAGCGCCAACCCTGGATCCTGTTGAATTGGATTCAGTAGCCTTTTCCGAACATCTGCATCATGTGGCGATTGAAGACCACTCACGATGTTGGGGCACTTGAGTAGTAGTCGAAATCTCGATGTATCACCGAACTGAGAAAAGTCGGTGTGAAACATGTTCTCATAGTTTCTTAACCAACTTTCGAAATGTTGTCGAGATTCGGCGTCGAAATTTAATCCCGTAATCGGACTCGCAGCAGCATTGTTGTTGTCTTGTTGACGGTAGTCCAACTTCTGTCGGTTCTTGGCTTCTCCGCCCGCTATGGTACATCAAAATCCATGGTAACTTCAGACAGCCCTTTATGGATACAAGGAATGATTATTGGAACCGTATTTATGAGGTTTACGGCAGTGAAACATCAGTGGCAACACTGATGTTGCTGTCCTTGATGATGATGATGATGATGATGATTTATGAGGTTCACAGCTTCACGCTAGAACCTTGTGAGAGGCGGGAAACGTCGAGGTGGCTGGCAGTGCATCATGTGCGATTGAAGACCACTCACGATGTTGGGGCACTTGAGTAGTAGTCGAAATCTCGATGTATCACCGAACTGAGAAAAGTCGGTGTGAAACATGTTCTCATAGTTTCTTAACCAACTTTCGAAATGTTGTCGAGATTCGGCGTCGAAATTTAATCCCGTAATCGGACTCGCAGCAGCATTGTTGTTGTCTTGTTGACGGTAGTCCAACTTCTGTCGGTTCTTGGCTTCTCCGCCCGCTATGGTACATCAAAATCCATGGTAACTTCAGACAGCCCTTTATGGATACAAAGAAAGATTATTGGAACCGTATTTATGAGGTTTACGGCAGTGAAGCATCAGTGGCAACACTGATGTTGCTGTCCTTGATGATGATGATGATGATGATGATGATGGTTGAGGTTCACAGCTTCACGCTAGAACCTTGTGAGAGGCGGGAAACGTCGAGGTGGCTGGCAGATTGATTGAGATTCTGACCAATCAAGGGATGCCTTTGTTTAGTCCGCGACCCGGATGTTATATCCGTCCGATTGACCTGATCCATTATGAAGGGCAGCTGGCCTCCGTAAACCAGCTCATATCTTTGAGATCAGATCCACCGTTGACCTCTAAAATCCCAATAAGCCTTGGAACAATCAGATCAAATCCCTATAGGTCTGTCTGGCAAACTTTTATCACTCGTTGCTCGCTGGTTTTCCCCCACTTCTCGTCCTCACCCATTGAATGATGCAGTGCGATCAACCCACTCGCCAGTCCTCCAGGCATTGTTGATGTGTTCAAACTGTTGTCCAGGACAATAAATTCAAATAATCCCTTATTAACCTCAAAAATTCTGATCCATGTTGCAACTAATGTTCGTTCTCTGTGTCAAATTGGGCAACGATCATCTACTGCTGAAACTTTGCTTCCCCCTGTTGATGTTTGCTCCCACCAAAACACGTATACACCTTGGTCGTGTTCCTCCATCCGCCTTCGAATAGCTCCAACGCTTTTCATTTCACTCCTTGGGTATCTGACAGTCCTGACGCAACGGCTCTTGGTACTTCCGTGTGGGAATTGCACTCTGCCCAAAGGCTGATAGCGCTTTATGGAACTGGGTCCCGGCAAACAGTCGTCTTTGCGCTGTGCGGTTGTCTGACCCAATGGAGATCAATGCTGATCGACGTGGTAGTGGAGTATTTGTGGTATCGGCATATGTTCCGACAGACTGCGGTTCTGAGATTGGGAACGACGGGTTTTATTTAGATCAGTCGTGACCGTTCCGGTCAGCAATAAGGACGAATTTGGCAACTCAGGCGAGTGACAT